GAAGGTTGGGCAATCCTACTTCCGTAGTGACCCTGCCTCGGAAACCCAAGGAGGGGTCGCTATGGGTCTGGGCTGACTCGACGGCACATAACAACAACAACAAAGGTCCTCAGAGTTTCTGTGAGGCCTGTCAATGAGGCCTCACTCCGAGATGATCAGGTGGCGACCGGCCTGTTCTGTTGGGGGATCCTCCACCATCAGCATCTTTCAGTCTCTTCTCTCACAGGCTACAGTTCTCATGAGAGGAAGCTCACTGCTGGGTGCACACACTTTCCCTGTGTCCCCGTGTGTCCTTTAAAGCGACCACTCCTGCTTTTAGTTGCACCTGAAAGTCCCAGTCCAGAGTCTTTCTGATTTTGACTGTCCAGAAAGTAAACCCCAGAGAGTTCCATCTGCTGCTGCTGCAGAGAAGGGAGTCATTTAACTACTTGGAATTCCAGCCAAATCTCCTGTTTTCAAGGTGTCAAGTATCTCCAATTCCCGCTGAGCCTTTCTGGGGTTCTGTAGCATACATCAGTCTGCTTCTTGTCTTTTCATCTGAAAGGCTTACAGCAGAGTACAGAAAACCCAATCCTATGCAGTTACTACCTGCCCAACCACTTAGCCAAATCTAGAATTTTGTTGACAAGTCACACTTGTTATTGTTTCCATCCCATTCCCCTTGGTCGTTGTGGGTTTAAACCTTTTTATTCCTTCATTGTCATTTTAATGAGGTTTCAAAAGGAAACAGACTTAAACATCTATAATCAATCCATCATGCTTATCTGTAAGTCTGAGTTGAATCTCAAAGATTCACTGTATGATCAAACAAGAAGGGCAATCTAAGACTAAAAGGAACAGTTAGAGAAAAAGTACAGAGGAGTAAGAAGCATGAAATAAGGAACAGCAAGTACTTGTCGCACAAGTGCCTCAGTGAAGATGGCTGGAAACTCCAGCAAAACAGACCCACAGTAAGTTCTTTCCCCTCTTTGAGCTTCCATTTCTCCAAATCCACCTTCCTAGTAGCTTAGGCCCAAATGACATAAAGAAAGTTCTAAAGTACTCTGAACATATAAGCAATGAAAATTATAATCTTATTTTTATATAAATGTTTGTGCAAAACAGTTATTATTAAAACAAAGCATGCTAAATCAAAAGATTTAGATATAAAAGAAAACAAAATGTATGTACCATTAATAACAAGTCCTTCTGGTTGACAGTTTCTGTTAGACGTTTGATCTCCTGCTCTTGACTATGTAATTTTTTATTACTTTCACTCAAAAGACTCTGGTAACGCTTCTCCACTGCTTTCTCTCTTTTGTTCACTTCGCCGCGTAGTTTCTCAACTTGATTTCCAAGGTCCTGTTTTACCAGAAGAGAGTGGAAAAATGGAATTTACTTGACAAAAATCCAAGGTGACAATCCCTCACCTGTTTGACATGCCAAATTACTGCTATAAAAGAGCAAGCTAATAGATGTATTTAACAAGTCTGTGCTTTCTTCTCATTTAAAATCTTATGAAAACCAACATTAAGAATAGTCTGAAATTCGAAAAAAGAAATCTTATACACAGATAATTTATGACATCATTATTTACAATATTGAAAAACAAGAAAGAAACCAGGTATCTAACAATAGGGAAATAATTTCAGAAAGAGTATAACATGGAAAAAGCACAATTACGAGTAAAAACAAACCAGGATATCCAATTGTTTATGTAATAGGATGCTGACTGTTTTCCAGATGTTTATACAAATTGTTGTTGAGGCTACAAGGAAACACATCAAAATAGTAACAGTGTATCTGAGTAGAGATTATGGGTGATTTTCAGCTGATTTTTACTTTTTTATTTTTCTGCATTTCTAAAATCTCTAAATAAATAACTCTATTACTTTCATAACCAGGAAAAAAAAATGTCTTAAATAATATCATTTACAAAGAATTGACAGTAACATAGAAAATGCTCATGTTATAATGAAAAAAAAAAAACAGAAAACAACATACAGTATGATTTTGACTTCTTTAAAATATGTCGTATTCATAATACTTAAGCACAATTTCTAATAGCAAAAGCCTGAAGACAATCAAAATGTCCCTTAAAGAGATTAAAAAACTATGCTAGATTCTCACCATGGAGTACTCTCAAGCTATAAAGGAAAAGGAATGAGGACTCACTCTATAAATCTACTGCCCTAAAGTAATCTCCGAGAAGCCCTGGTAGCACAGAGGCTGGCATCTGGCTTCTGATAGGTCAGTGGTTTGAATCCACCAGTTGTTTCATGGGAGAAAGATGTGGCAGTCTGCTTCTGTAAAGATTTTCAGCCTTGGAAACTTTATGAGGCAGTTCTACTCTGTCCTATAGGGTTGCTATGAGTCAGAATTGATTTCACAGCAGTGCATTTGGTTTAGTTTTGCAAGTTATCTCCAGGATATATTGTTAAATGAGGGAGGGAAGAGATCCAGAAGAAAAAAGTATGTCGAGCATACTGCCATTCATTTAACAATAACATAAATTAGATGGTGGCCCAGAACAGGTCAAAGGGACAGTGACAGATGTGAGAACTCATTTTACAGATGTGACTATGGAACCATTCAAACGTTCAGATAATGATTTAAAAATTAAAAATGCCTTATGAAAAGTGAATTTACTCTGTAAATCTTCACCCAAATCCTAATAAAAAAAAAAAAATTAAAAATGCCTTAAAATTGAAAGCAAAAACAAATGAACAAACAATCTAACTATGTATCAAGTTGACTGGTTGACCAAACAGAGAAGAATCATTTCAAGAGCTTTAAAGCAGAGTAATCTGTACAACCCTAATAGGATATTCCCCTAAGGACAAAAAAGACTACCAAAGATCTTTCCAGTAATCATGCTTTCAGTAATAATACTGGTATTATCATTCAAACACTCTGTGTATGTGTGCATGTGTATATATTTACCAGATAAAATATTATTAAGGTCATTAAAAGCTCAATTAGCATAACATACTACACAAAAACACTGTTCTACATTCTACTTTGATAAGTAGCGACTAGGGTCTTAAAAGCTTGCAAGCAGCCATCTAAATGCAACAATGGCTCTCCGCTTGTCCAGAGCAAAGAAGAATGAAGAAAACCAAAGACACATGGAAACAATTAATCCAAGGGACTACTAGTAGACCATGAGGCCCTCAGCCTATATGTCCATGAGACCACAGGAATTAGATAGTGCCCAGCTACCACTGTCACTTAGAAATGGATCAATGCAGGAGATCCTGGATAGAGTAGGAGAACAATGTGGAACAAAACTTAAAATCATATTTTTTAAAAAAAGAAGAAGGAGGAGGCCAGGTTTACTGGTCTGACAGAACCTGGTGAGACCCCCAAGACTATGGCCCCTAGTTACCCATCAGGTCTGGAATTGAACTCACTCCTGTGGCTTCCAACCAAACAGTAGATAGGCACACAGGGTGAACATTTACATCAGGTAGCTACATTCCTTACAGCAATCATTTGCGGGAGAACAGGAGGGCAGTGTTTGCACAGGGAGACAGCTCTAGGGGGCAGGAATGCACAGGAAAGAAGGAAACAAGGGAATTGCAGTCAATGCCATGAAACAAAATGTGCATGAACTGCTGTATGGAAAATGAATTTGTTCTGTAAACTTTCACCCAAATCACAATAAAAAAATATAAAAAATAAAATATTATTAAGGTCATTAAAACCCAAGAGTTCAATCATAAAAAAAGAATAAAAATATAAAATAAGTTAAAATTTGTAATTCTAAATCTGAATTGGAAAGATCAATATGAACTTCTATTTTCTATTATTATTTCCTACCTCCTTCCACTGAAAAAGCTTAGAATTAGTGTTCCCCCCTAGCGTCCAGACTATAGGTCTAAATGCCATTTGCCAACAAAAAGAACCAGAGTTCCTTAAAGCAGTGTTTCTCAAAGTGCGGTCCCTGGAACAGCAGTATCAGCAGAGCATCACCTGGAACTTGTCAAAAATACAGAGTACTGGCCCCCACCCCAGACCTACAGAATCAGAAACTCTGAAAATAGGCCCGTCGATTTGTGTTTGAACAAACCTGCTAGGTGATTCTGATGTACACTAAAGGTTACCTTACGGAAAGGGCTGACTCCAGGCCTTAGGCAGGAATGTACAGTATGAGCCCAAAATTTGTTGCTATCCAAAAAGAAGAAAGCTCTCAAAGACCATAGGGTTCATGTCCAAGGCACTGAAAGAATCAACTTTTTTCTGTTGTTGTAAATTCTGATTTCAATGAAAGTTTACAGAGCAAAATAGTCCATTCAACAACGCATACACTTTTGTTTTGTGACATTCATTGCAATCCCCACAACATAATCCCATACTCTTCCCACTTCCTCCCCCGTATTTCCCACTTGCATTCATCCTTCTTTCCTATCCCTTCCTCTTCTTAGCTTTATCACTGGACAAATGCTGTCCTTTTGATCTTGTATGGTTGACTGTTCTAATGAGTGCATACCTCCCTGGTATTACTGTTCACCTTACAGCCAAAGAATCAACTTGAGTAAGTTTTTCCTCTGCCCAAAACAGGACAATTAGAATACCAATAAGGATAATAACAAGTAATTAAATACATCAAAAATGTTAAAAAAGGGCAAGATGGCGGACTAGGCAGAAGGATTGCACAGACCCTCTTCAACAAAGAAAAGGGAAACCAATTAACACAGACAAAGAAGATAATCTTGGA